GTCATAAACCAGAAAATTGGACCAATTTCAAATTTGACCCTGTAGTAGAGCCAAATAACAAGTCTGGGGATCAACAAAGTAATATAGAATTACCTCAAAAAAAACTTTATTTAGAGCAACCTGGTGACGTACTCAGATTAAATGTTTTTGTTTGTTTGTTTGTTTGTTTGTTTTACCACTGAGCAGTAGAAATTATTCAGATCTTTGATTTAAGTAAAAGTACCAGCACGACACTGCAAAAACATTATGTTACAAGTGAAAGTCCTGTATTTAACATGTTGCTTAAGTCAATAAATCCAAATATAATCAGGAAAATGTAAAGTACCCCATGTTGAAAATAGCCCCTTTGACTGCTATACTATAATATATTATACCATTAAATAATTATTCCTCATGCATCCATGTCAAAGCAGGATTTTACTATTGTAGTCAGGTGGAATTTATTTTGAACATATTTGTATATAACTGCAGCTAAGAACTATTTTCATTATGGATCAATCTACGGCTTGCTTTGTCCATTAATCAGTTTATTGTTTGGTTTGTAAAAATTGATAAAACAGTAGAAAAAAAATCCTCTCATAGCTTACCAGAGCTTGTTTTGTCCAACCAACAGTTCAAATCTCAAAATTATTTTTAAAATTATGTTAAAATTATCAAATTAATTAAAGAGAGAAGCTGCAAATCTTATTTGTGAAGCTTGAACCATGACATGTCTAGAATGAAAAAGCATTTTAATGATTAGCAAAAACAGTTGGTTTCTGACTAATTTTGTGTCAGACAACCAACTTATTAATCAGCTAATCATCTCAGCTTCAGTTGTAGCTGTTGAATAGTTGAATCATAGCAAAACAGTAAATCATATTTTAAAAATTCTTCCCTTGTTTTGTGTGAAAAACAAATTTAAATTTTTCACAATAACTACAACTAAAGCTGTCAAATTTATTTAGCAAAGTACAAAAGCAGCACAATATTTTCTCCTAAAATGTAGCGAAATATAAATATAAGGTTGTATGAAACAAAGAGACTCAAGTACATCAAATTGCTGCTTATATACGCTACTTAAGTAAATGTAGTTAGTTACGTTAAACCACCGAGTCTTTTGGAGAACATAAGCTATGTTTAGAAAACTTACTTCAAAGTTCCTTTAAATAATCCTTGTCAAATCTGTGTCAAGCAACACAATTGGCTCCCTAATAAAATAAAGACAATCCCAAATATTTGTGTGGTGTTAGTTACAGCAAAATGGTCTTCAGATGTGTTGTGGGTGAAGCTGATTTTTCTTCAATTTCTGTATAGAAAATTAAATTGTTTGAGGATGAACAATAGCAGTGGGTGGTATTAGGCATCAAACCTCCCTGTCGGTCGCATATAGACAGCATTGCTCAGGCACTGAGTCACGCTGCTGCCAACAGAAGGCTCTCTATAGTGATCACACTTATGGTAAAGGAAAAGCAGTCTGTAGCACTGGAGATGTACGCGATGTACAGTATATTGGCTTCATCTCCAGATAATAGCATAATTGTGTCTTTTTTTCTCATGATTAGTCACATCCTTTATGGTCTTCTGTTTTCCTCTCTTTGGATTTTACATGGTGCCCAGAGCTATGGGAGGACATTCAAAACACCACTCTTTGGCATCACAGATGGATCAACCAAACTAGGATGTGGGCGATAATTGTGCAAGGAATGGAGTTGAAGGGAAGCGTAGTGTGCGATATGTGGGTATGGTTTAAAGTTGGTAGTGTTTCAGTTTCTCTGGGCCCCACAGACTGAGGCCTCCTACTGTCCCCTGAGTGTGTGACTCCTTTGTGTCTCATCCGTACCAAACATCCAGCGCTCACAGTGTTTCTTCTGGGATGTGAAAAACACAGTCACAGTGAAGGAATCTGGTCCGCAGCAAGTGTTTTTGTGCGGACGGAGGGCCTCACATCGAAGCAAACATCTGTGTGGAGATGGATGGTATTGGGACTCATAACCTCGGTGATATTAGCACATGAAAGGTAGAGAGACTGCAGGAGGGCTATTTTAACCGCTCATAGGGGCCCCTCTATTAGCCTCCCATTCATTCACAAACAGACACACACGATGTTGTTGTTACACACTGCGCGTTGGTCACTTTCAACATCCGCCGCCGCTCCTCTAAGATGCTCGGCTGAGTCTTTTTGTCATAATTATGATTAATGTTCTGGCGGGTCACTGGCTGTGTTAAGGCCGTTAACAACACTCCGTGCCCCTCTTTGCACAATCAGCAAGTCATTTACAAATCATTACTTGATTCGTGGAAATGTTCTGCGGGTTATCTGATACAAGAACAGCTATGACTCTGCTAATGTTTCCCTTGGGGAGCATGAGCTTGTTGCTCACACTGCCCCAGGACAGTGGCCTGGTCTGGGGCACAAAGGGGGGGTAAATATCAACAGAAGGTGGGAGCTGGAGGGGAGTCCTTGTTGAGAGAGAACAGGAGCTGTGATTACACACTTCCCAGATGTACACCCAGCATTAAAGTGAGTCAAAACTTTCTATGCAGTACTGGAGGATGGGTCACATCTGCATTGGTACTCTGGTAAGAAATGAGAAAGAATCAGTAGTTGTGGTGATCTAGCGAGTTCACTTTCTTGAGATTCTTTCTTGAGAAAAGTGTTTTTAAGGAAGCATGGTCCTTTTCCACAGCACTGTAGGAGTTTGTTGACTTCATGGAACAATAAGAAACTACTTAAGAGATTATGAGAGCCCAAGTGTGTTTATTTATATTCAGTGTACTGCAGACTGTTGAAATAAAGTACACAGCCCTGTTACTTTGGCCTTCCCAGGCTAACATACAGAACATTATAGGTTTCTTATCTTTAACTATAAATCATACAGCTTTATCATGACAATCCTCGCTGTCTCTATATTGCACTGTGTCTGGTGTACGGTGCCAAGGAATTTAAGGAGACTACATTTCAACCAGAAAAATCCCAAAGATCAATCCCACATGACAGCAAAGTGTGTGCCCTGCAGTAGCTGACCTGTGCTCTGGGCTAATTGGAGACGGGGTGAAGCAGAAAATGTAAAGTTTCCCTTTGGGAGATCAGAAATGAATGCCAAACTATGCCTTTCTCCTCAATGAATGGGTTTGCTGAGACAGAAAGATGTTGCCCACAAATTCAGCAGCACAACGTGGTTTTATAAATACAATTTTCTTCATGAGTGAATGTAGCAAAAGGTTTTGGGAGGAAAGTTTGTATTGTGCAAAATATGTGTTAACCAGAGAGCGTTTTCATGGAGTAAATGTAATCAGACCTTCAGCGGACAACAAAGCACTAAAGAACACCAGATCTGTGTGCACTCATATCGTCATCCTGGCGGTTCAAACAATTTTAAGATCCAAGCTGCTCACTGAAGGCCTGATTTTTTCATTTCCCTCCAAGAGATTATTGTTGAGCAGCCGCACTTTACTCTTCCTTTGTCAAACCACAATGACGATCAAGTGTCTGCGTTTTGACCACCTAAAACGCTCCACGGGGCAATTTCCATGATCCCTTGATATTTCGGTTGGTGACAAACTGTAAAAGACTCTAAATTACTGTGTGAAGCTGCCAGCATGTCTTGGAAAAGAGTAAGGAAGTGACATCAGGCACATACATGTACATGCTCGCTGATACAGACATGCAGAGCAACATTAAAACTGACCTAAGGTTAACTTTACCACCTTGTAGTTTTTATTAAAAACTGCTTTGACCGGGGGAGAGTAATGCTCACTGGGACCTTCTTGAAGTGGCTTGCTGTGACCCCCGTTTCCCTCTCATGCACACATCTACACGCACTGATATTTTATATTTTTATGCTCAGCTTTTCATGATGAATAACCGCTAAGTGGAGTTTCATTGGCTGCACATCTGGGAGCCCTTACTGCTAAAGATGGAGGGAACATGCACTGTAAGTTAAATGAGCACATTCACTCGACTCATGTGTCATTCCTTGCATTTCACATAACAAATCTTTATTCATCTGTCAAGGTGTCAGCTTTTTGTCTGACATTGTGGTTGAACTCCAAACCCCAACAGAGTTTTGGAGGCAACGCTGCATATGCATTTCATATGTCTTCTCTTGTCTTGTACGTTTCTCTGCCTTTGAGCAGATCAGAACACTGCCGGCTGCGCAGCTCATACCGAGGTGCTGAGTAACCTTTTCTTTTTTTTTCAATATTTTTCACAATTTTTTCCCAGCCTTGCGACACAGCCTTTGTTTCACTTTTAAAATGAGCTCTTTAATTGAACAGTTGCTTTTTCAGCAACTTTTTTTTTTTAATCGACAAAGATACAGTGAGTCACGGCTGATTTTTATCACTTTCGCTCAGGTTTCATACGTAACACTGGGTGTGCAGATCGGCGGTGTGTTTATTTAGGCTCTGCGCCCAGCTGCCCTCATGTACCAACAAGGCATCGAGGAGGATCAGTGATTTTAATCTGCCAGTTATACGTATAATCATGTCGTTCTGTTCTACTTGAATAAACTTGATGTGCAAATGCATTTGAGCGTTAACACATCTTCTTTACTTTCCATGGCCTTTAGTTTAATGAAGACTTTGCTACTGAAACCTCTTCACATGTTGGATTAGCTGTTCTGCTTCCTAGACACAAGACATTTTATATAAACAACCTAACTTTACAAGCTTTCTGAGATAATCAGACTTTTTTTTTCTTGCATATTTTGCATTTGCAAGTAATGTGCACATAAAATAAAACTTTTACCCCCCCCCCTCTTTTTTTTTTTTTATACAATACTTTAGGCTTCACGGCACCAGTCACAACACCTGCATAGTTTAACTGGTGGGTGTTGGCACTGGTCCTGAGAACACACTGAGTTATGAACTATTGCAAACAACTGCTTTTCATTACAACACATTTCGCTTCGGTACATGTTCCCATGCAGCCTACATAGATCAATCAGTGATAATGTGGCCACAGAAGACACACAGGTTTTAACACAATGATGAGTGAAGGCAAATGACATGTGAGCTATTTGTCGTAAAATGTTTATTTGAAGTAGTTTTTTTTTTTAATGATCCATTGTGGAACACAGATGTATACACCGTTAGATATACAAATCTGCCCTCATATGACTGAAATAATCTTCACATTACTGAAGTGGGAAATACTTGTTGCTACCTGCAGATTTCTATGATGAAAGTTTAGCACAATCAGGTAATACAGTGATTATACCACATCTGATTAATTTACAGTCCAAATTCGACCCACAGAGCTCTGCTGTTTTCACATTTAAGCTGGATTTTGAAACTGATCAGTAAACACTGCAAACAAAAAGGCCTATAGCCTGCCACTCACATCCCTTTATCTCTCCCTGATGCTTCAATCAGCACACAACTCACATCACATATACACTACTGTGCTCCGCCTCACATAATGCCCGTACAGGGAAGTTAAAAGTTCATCCCTTTTAGCTCTAATGTTTTCCTAATGGTCGCTTGTTGAGTTAATAGTTAAATAGCAGACAGGATCATTGTCCTTGCCTTTCATTTGCCCCTGTGAGTAAAGCTAAACACATGTTCGTACATCAAAGCTCTAAATTTACCCTCTGACCCGCTAGTACAGAAAGATTCCAGCAGCTGCGTGTTGGCCCTGGCGAAGCTTGCTTTACACTCAATATAAAGAGTCCCTTAAATGAACACTGTGTGTGTGTGTGTGTGTGTGTGTGTGTGTGTGTGTGTGTGCATTTGTGGATACAAGTGTGATTATCTATAATGAAAAGGCCCATAACATGTATAAGAGGAAAAGATACATTAAACCACTAACCATAACATTTTAAAAGGTTTCTTCCTTTTTTTTTTTTTTACTGACCAGCTGTGTACAAGTTTTACAATAAAACGCTGGATGGCTCAGTTGCGAGAGTACAGTTCCTTCATTTAAATGTTTGGATTTAATATATAAATGCATAAAAGAGTACAAAAATAAAACATTTGTATAATATTAATTTTACATATGATTTAAAAGAATGGCTGAATGGAACTTAAACAGTTACATGCACATTCAGTGACTTACAAAAAAGAAACAAAGAACAGAGTGGAAACAGGATGATGTTCATACAGATATGGGGCAAAAGACAGAATTTAATTGTCAGAGTGAGTGAGGAATAGCAAATTTTGTTGGTAAAACATGAACACATCAGATATAAAGTGCTGCAAGACAGTTGTAGGTAGTCACATCTGTTGTTAGTCAGTAATGGTGCTGTTTTCTGGACTGCAGCTCTCAGTGTTACAAGACTTTTAACTACTGATGTGGTAACTGTTATTTAACTTTTTTCAGCACCCTCCTTTGAAATGGGCATTCACACTAACAGGTTATTTCAACCGAATCCAAGAAAAATAAGGTCACACTGATATACTAAGGCCGCTAACTTTGACTGATGAGCATTTTGTTCCGACCATCACTTGTTAACTGACAAAACTTTATGATTCCGGTAAATTTCATCTTATTGGCTGCTCAATTAAAACTGTTTGGGAACCAGATGTTCCGCTTTTTGTGAAGAAAGGGAGAGAAAAAAAAAAGAGCAGACGTGGGTAACACACGGTCGCGTAATCACAGCCACAGAACAGCTCAGGAAATGCTCCAGCTCTTTTGGCATCCTCATTTCCATCACAAAAACATTGTAATTGCCATTTTTATTAGGATCTTGTGGACATCTTTTATTCAGCGTGGGGGCAGCTGGCACCCGCTGAAATTCCTTGCTGCCAATTAACTTGTTTTTCAGAAGGAAAACTATACATTGTTTATCATTTTTGTACAATTTGAAATCACAGACAATCAGGATAATTAGATCCCATATTTAGGATTAGGTATAATAAATCATTTTTTTCCCTGGCTCAGCAGACCACAAGGCTCTGCTACTTACAAATGGGATGCTCATTCTTGTTTGTGGTGGAGAAACCCTCCTGCTGACCCTACAGCTTTCTTTTGTAGACACTTTCCTGAATGACGAAGCCAGAGGGACGACAAAATCTCCAAAAATAGCTCTTTACTGTTTAAGTCCATTAACAAAAAAGTATATACATTATGGTTAGAAAAACATACATACACTTACAGATATAATTGCACTTTGCACTAATAACATTTTGCTATATCTATAAGTGGTGAGAGTTGTGATGGTGAAGAAGGCGGCAGAGCAGGTGGACTGGCGTTCATGGCGACGAGCTGTGGACTCATTCCATGCAAAAGGCCGCCGGGATAAGTGCTGTACAACATACAAGATGGTCTTATATCATGTTACATATCTGTGGTGGTGGTCTAAAATCCTCAGTGATGGCTCGGAAGGATCCCTGCAGGCGCTTTAGTTGGCCTGTTTGGATTTCCTCATCCTGGAAAGAAAATGTAAATTTGATGAGTTTAACAAGCAGACATGAAGACAACATATTTGGCACTGACTATTTAGAGCTGTCTATCACTTCTACAAATGGGAAGAATTGATGATAGGGAATAACTTTGGCAGGGTGACAGAAATTACTCTTCTTTTATGCCCATGTGGACAAACAATTGGATGGTAATTTGTAACCAGTAAACACCACATTGGAAATTAATGAGTATTTGTTCAAGTGGCAAAACTCTGATTACGTTCAGGTCCAGGTTGACGAATAAAAACAGCTGCTTCAAGTTTACAGGCCTGAATGTTGTTGAGCAGTAATCAAGAGGTAAACTTCCCGGCCTATTAAATCTGAATTAAATTTTGCATTTTTCTTTTTTTTTTTTCTTGCTGGCCAGTTTCTTATTGTGTTAATTCAGACTGAGGTTTAAATCCAAAACCATAGACTTTACAGCTCTAAATACTAAAACAACAACAAAATCTTGTTTTGAGAAATTGTACGTCTAAACGTGTAATTTTGCAGAGCGTTGAACGGCAGTGATGCATACATATATAAACTGTATATTAACAGAGTAAACACTTGAACATGGGTGGGCTGTTTAATTATTGACTTTGGAGTGATGCTCTGCCACATTTCAAATGATGAAAAAGGTAATCATGGGTTTGTTTAGTAGACTACAGCGTAGCATAATGCATGAGTTACAATTGTGTGCATTTCCACACATTGTAAATAGTCTATTCCTCCTCCCCCCTTTTAACTGTATGTGTAATTGGAAACACATTAGATCTGATCTATTGTAAATGAGCTCTATCCACCCTCTACATGGGCTGTTTTGTTATGCAGAGGACTGTTCACACCTCGACGAGTTAAGAGCTCCACAACCATCCTTGAGACAGACAGTCTGACTGCGGGACTGAGGACGCATCAGTCATTGGGTATTGAGTGTGTATGTCAGCAGCTAGATTGACTGCAGGAGTCTGTTTTGTTTTCTTTACTTAGAGAGATGGGGATGGGGAATTTTTTTTTTTTTTTTTGTACATTCTCAAACTCTTTTATGTTCCACAACAGAGTGTGGTTTGTTTCATTTCTTAGAAAGATATAAGTGCACAGAGATGGCAACTCAATCCCTTTTAAAGCTTTAAAGTGGCGATGTTTTTTAGAAAAGTGTCTCCTTCCTCAGCACAGGAAGGAGACAGTTGATATTGGCAGTGACTTTTAGCTCCCTCAATCTCAGAGTGACTTCAAGATGAATGTATAATGCAGAGTTGTTGCATTAATGTTACATTAAGAGACAAAAAAGACGGTAAATCTATCAAGTTACACTTGTTTTTTTTATCATATAAGATCATGCTAAAACTCCAGTGCAGTATTTAATTTATTCAATGTAGTATGTAGGTGTAATGCAAGAGCATATTTTACGAGAAAACCTTTTATGAAAGCGGATTTGCAGATCTGCTTCTTGTATGAACAGTGATGACTAGGAATGAACTCTTAATAACAGTTTAGAAAGAGTAAATTAAATATGGTTGTAAAGCGTCATCCCGCATCAAACCCACAGTTTGTGTGTGAAAGTGGAATTAGTCTCCACTCCTACTTTGTCATGTTGCAGCATGTTTTGGGTTCGGGCTCCAATATAAATAGGGTAATTGAGAGTTGTCACTGTAACAATGGTCTATTGGTAGGTGTCCAAATGCGCATTTGTGCTTTTGCTTTCTTAACTTTAAATTTCTATAGAAGTGATTTCACAGCACACCAAACAAGTGATCTGTTACAGGCTGACATCGCGCAACAGAATTGTGTATTGCAGCAAAACCACAGGCAAAAATGAGCCTGATTTGTTGGTGCTTACTTGTTGATGGCGTTCTTCAGGTACTGCTTCAGCCACCGGACCTCTGGGTTCACACACACCTCTTTGTTTGTCTTCAGCTTGGCACTGTTTGAAAAAAGAAAAAAAAAGAATTCAGAATGCACAATTAAACTTTAGCTAAAGATGAAAGAGTGAATAATGCAAGATCAGCGGTGTTGGGTATCTTAACACTTTGTTACCAAACACGCTGAATTAGCGCCGCCTTGCGAGTTTCAACACAAGCAGAGAATCTTTTCTCAGTAGCGCCTCAGCGTATAAATAATTAATCACTCTTTCACCTCAGTTTGTTATAAGAACACGTGTCTTCAGGCAGTTCTTAAAGATAATGCCTCTTGGGTTTAAAACTTCACCCCTGATTGACCTTTCTAATTAATGTGCAGTAAAGATTTGAGTATGTTGAGGAGTCGGTCCTTTCACGTGTAGCTACAAGCTACTTTCTAAATCCAGCATAACCCTGTGGTTATTTAAAGAATGCGTCACCAATGGATCGTATGTCTCTATGCGGGAGATCGTGCCTCCTTTAAGTAACTAAAAATCGACTTTGTGATTCTCGGCATGTGTTTTTACAGTATAAGAACTGCCAAGTTATTGTCCACCTTTAAAGGTAGCATATGCGAGAATATGAAGCAGGTTACATGTTTTAGTGGTCACTTAGTATTGCCAATTCGTAGATGCATTGTAATGTAGCTAAAAAAAAAAAAGACCTTTCCTCAGTTTCTTGATTGCCTCTGACAGCCTGTGGATTGATTCCTATATGAAAGACTCAGGATGAATTTTTCAGAAAAATGCAAAGGATGTGACATTTAAGCTTGTCCTTCAACACTTTGCTTCGAAGCCTGTCCCCTACAGGGGGCAAGATTATCCAATGTTACCAATTGAAATGGAATCCACTCAAACAAATGGCTTCCAGCACAACATAGACTCCACCACAAACTCTCCATCACTCCAATTTAGCACCATTTTGTTCCAGCTGGAGAAACAAATATAACCTATAGCCTCAAATATAGTTTACAGCCAAACTATAACGGCAGTAAAACTTCGGCAGCCATCAACATGAGTCAACTTGTGGTCGATCACATTCAGTCTGGTGTGTATCACGGCCCTGTTTTGGCTGATGCCCAGGATGCTTACGCACACCTACGTACAGAGCATGTGTGTGAGCAACAGGATGCTGCCTGCAGTTAACTTAATGGCCACGGGTGTCGTTAATAACAAGGCTTTTCTGAATGTTAAACACAGAACCTTTTAACATTTAACTGTTTCTGAGGTTTTCCTTTCTATTGTCGCGAACCACATGGTGCCTGTGTTGCTGCATCTGTAAACTTGCGCCACGCAAACAACGAATGAGGTCATAACTAAAGGTTGTAAGCACAGTATGAGAAGGAAACGCTGCGTGACAAGCAAATGAGAAGTAAACCCCAATTACAAAACCCACAATTATTGCTTTCCTGTTGAAAACAAAAGTGCGTCCACTTTCCACCTCTTTTTCACGCTCGCTCATACACTAATGGACTGCTTCCTGCGGATGCGTCAGGAGGCCAGTTGTAAAAACGTCTCGTTTTCTCTGAATGTGTGAGCGAGTGACAGAGGGGCGTGTGTGTACACATGCATGCACAACTCTTTTCTCTGGCCTGTCGCCTCTCTGAGATTGATGGTGAGAAATGTCCAACGAGGAGGAAACCTGTCTAAGGGTTTTAAGGCCAACATAAAAAAACACACTGCAACTGAAGTCTACATGGAAAAACAATACTCACATCACTTGGAAGGGGCAGTTAGGTGTGTGGATGAAGCGGAGCTCTTGGATGTAGCCTCGTGGGAGGGAGTTGACTGTTGAGCGACAGTAGCATCTCTCCACCAAGCTGATGGGCTTTGCTGAGAAAGCAAAGAAGAGATGAGTGTCAGTTACACAAAACAATATTCATTGCAACATATGTTTACAGACAGCAATGAAACAGATTAGAGGAAACTAATGATCCCCTCTGGAAACTGAGAGATCACACACATTCCACTGCAGCAAAATATGATTAAGCAATAATTCAACTATTAAATGAGCTGAAAATAATAGAGCTGGCAAATAAAACAATATCCTCAACAGATCAGCAAGTTGAAGCATGCAGGCCTCTTCAAACCAACAGACATGTTAGCAGCTCATGCACTGTAGCTTACAGTCTTCTGAATTTACAGTGTGTTTTCTATCCATTATCCATACTTGTTTGTCTATTTCAGGGTCATAAATTCTGGAGACACCCCAACATGAAATCAAAATTTCACATGTAAGCTTGCCTTAAAGAACACACTTCTAGACTCACAAACACTACACTCTTTCACTCATACACAAGTGTGAACTGTGTGGTCCTTAAACTAAATGATGGATGTGCATACTTTCCATTACAACCTCAGCTTTCAGGTTTGTACACAGAAATCTACACGCTTGATTAATGTGGAGAAATAAACACAAGCATATTTTCCTGTTTCTTGAAATCTACAAAAATCCCCTCTTGACCCAGCCAAGGGGTTTGTCGGTACATCGTTTTTAAAGCTGGTGGTCACACAAACAGATGGTGAGAGGGACGTCTGCAGCTGAGCTGCATGCAAATGACTTTTTACACCTGATCTAACGGTATTATCATGATAAAGGGCGCGACACCTTCAGGTTGGGTTGACTGATGTCGCCACGTAGACTAGCTGAGGCTTTTGTCCCGTGGATGCCTCATTTGCGCGTAATTAAATGAAAACAAAAAGCAGGATAAATACACGCGATGATCGGTGATCCAGCGCTGAATTTCTTTTCCAGGACAAGTCACATGAGCAGCAGATTGGTAGTTTACGTGCGTTAGAAAATGCATTCTCCCCACTCCAGAGCAGACATTTGTGGAATGAAATTCATATTTTTAAAGCAAAAGGGGCATTTCGGCTAATGGCAACATTTGCACCTTAATTGCACTTAATTGAAATTTGTCATCGGAATTTTAATAGCCAACTGTGTGAAACGATTTTTGGCACAAAGGCAGTTTAAATCCCTTAACTACAACTGATTAAGACAATATGCATAGTATTAGTGATAAGTGCAATATGCTATGCGGGTTTTTTTTGTAATTTTGTTTAAGTAAGCTACAACAGGTGTGGAATGGAAACACTAATCTGCTCTCCTCTGGTACATTTTCTGAACTCCACATGATCCACTGTACCAGATATCATGATTAAATGAGCCTTTATAACTTGCAGATTTTTATCATGGGCACACAGCTGCAAAAAAAACGACAATAGCAAAACAAGGGAAACAAGGGTGTAAATAAAACCAGCATTTCACAGGAAACCAGAAAATACTCCCATACCTTGAGATGGAGGCGCAAATATCAACACCGTGAGCGCAGCCACGACTGCCAGCAGTTTCGCATCCATCTTGCGTAAATATCACCGCGGTTTGATCCTGCTCAGAGTAAAGTCCAGAGGAGTTGTGACAGACGGGACACCGGTGCAGTGTTAAATTACGCACCGACGTCAAGCCACACTGTAAACAGTACACTGCTTCCGGTTCTGAATAGCAAAAATAAAAGCCAGAACTCTGCATGCTTCAGTCTACTGACATTGATCAGATGAAAGAATAATGTATGATATTACAAACAAAATAGAAAATATTCTTTGCAATCAGGAAGTACTTTTGTTGCAATCTCTGATCTGCCAACACTCGGATTTTATGATTTTTAAACGTACGCTTTTATTTTTGTAAGACTTTTAATTTGTCGCCTGTTTGGTTTCGGGGGGTGATCTCAGCTTAACTTTATTAATGCAGCCACATTACGCACGATCATAGGCGCACAAACGGCATCAATCCATGCGAGTGAGCGCACGCACCGCTACTTTATGTGTCACATTATGGGCTTCAGTGAAAGTTGTCGTGGTGTTAACTGTCTTGCAGATATCACAACAAGGTAGTTTGGGTTGATTGTGTTTATTTGCATTAGATTGGATTCAGTTTCATTGTCGTTACACAGAGTACAAGTGTTAAGACAATGAAACGTAGATCAGCATCTAACCAGAGGTGCAAAAGAAGCCGTGAAAGTGCAGTGCAATGTTAAAAGGTCTAAGGAGGCAGCATCAATGTGCCAGTTTATGTAGGATGTATAAGTACTATATATAAAATATATGCAGTATAGATACATAGATGACCATCCTATATATATATAACATTTTAAATGATAGATAGATAGATAGATAGATAGATAGATATTCTAAGAAGCACAAAATCTTCTCTCCAGACAAACAATGTATATATTTTCCTCAGCTTGACTTGTGGCTGCTGCTGAGGCTATGAGAAGAAACAGGAGACATTTTTTGCCCATGTGTTTGTTTTTAGTCATACTTTGGTTTCTCATGGACTCCATTGGTCTAAATTAATTAAAAGCTAAATGTGTAACTGGAGAAGACACACGTGAGTGTATACGTCTTCTGCTACTTATCACTACACACAAAGCGGTGCAGAAAACATCACGCAGGTTTCCCAGCTTGTGTTTGGAAATCAGTAAAATTCTTCCCATTTTTAGCAAATTCTTGAAGAATAGCCTTTATGGGGCATGTTGAAAATTTCCAATCCATGTGTGCGTACATGCACACCCTCACTGTGATGTTTTGGGGTTTATTATTAGTGTGTTTAATAGGATGCAGATGTGAAGTCAGTTTCCACACATTTGGCTTTCATCTTCCAGAGCAAACACTCCAGCGTATGTGTGTATGTGTGAATAATATATGAGTAAATATGTGCTTTTAGGGTGTGTATGTGTGTGTGTATGCGTGTGCCAGTAAGAAGTTTATTTCTGTCCCCGTATTCCTCAAATGCTAGGTTACTCTAATCCCCAAAATACTTTTATAGACTGTTTAAGACAAATACACACAACCGCACTCAATGCAGTTCCACAACGCAAATACAACCTTAAATCCTTACACAGAAGATAACAAAAGCTTGTATTTACACAGACCGAGGTTGTGTTTTACTACTTTTTTTTCCCCCCAAATCTCAGAGCAGCACCAGTAATGAGAATAAATGCTTGGTTTTGTATTTTCTATTCTGTGTTTTTTTCCGATATTGCAGGAATATCCTCTCATCACACGACTGTGGGAAAGCAAACCACCTGCTGACAGCACACTTTATCATGAAAATGAGTGAGGGATAGAAAAGGGTAGTTCGAGGAGAATAACAGTGTTTTACGCTTGTGGTTTACTGTGTCTAGCTAGGAAAGTAAGAAAGTAAAAATTCTCTTTGCATAAAGTTAAAGGGTCAGTATCTCCTAATATACATACAAGATGTTTATAAAGAAGCGCTTTCACAACCCGTCCTTAGCTTATGTGTGGTCGTAGTTTTGTGTGTGTAGTCTGAGACGTTTTCTTTGATATACTGCAGACTGTCTGTGTTTTGGATCTCAGAGAGTCGCTATAGATGAAGCCATGGAGACCAGACAGACAGGACGAGACGCACAGAGGGTGAAATCAGCTGACAGCTGACAGGACATACATTTAACTGTTGACTTCTCTCACCGGCCACAAAGGCCGACTCCGAGCGTGTCTGTTAGACAGCGAAAGATAGAACAAGCAAAGACTAAAAAGAGCAATATGAAACTATTTGAGTAAGCTCCTCTCAGCTTGGAGTGAAAGGTGACTTCAGAGGCTTTCAGATCAAAGCGCTCCGGTCACAACAGCTCATCAACCTGCTTGACTCTCACACAGGACGCCTGACACGTCATTACAATCTCCACTTTACATTCGCTTCTCTGCTCTTTACCAAACAGTGAGCTGCGAGTCTGCACAAACAACAAACGTGTGCAGTGTGGTTTGCGCAAGCACACGTACAAATGGAAGTCATTTGTCTTGAACGCACACACACACACGAAAGTTGTAAATGGGGGGCCGACCTGTGACATGTCATGGAAGAGAGAGAGAGAGTACATCCAAGTATTTCAACATTTCTGCCATAATCAGCAAGATTTACTCTCTTCTCCTGAGGTGAATGGACTTGAGTAGTTGTGGTTGCATAAGCAAACTTGGCAGCACATCTTCTTGCCAATTGTTTCGTTCTTTCTTGAATTAACAAGTTCCTGAAATGAAACTGTTCTTTTCTCAGCACAAGGGATCATTTACGTAAGTTGTTTCTTCTATCGGGGGAGGGAAAAAAAGTGAAAGAAAGGTTCATATTTCAGGGACTTTTGGGGTCACGGTGATAATTTTGCACACACTAAACATACAATACATGCTACCTGTTATGTTTTACTCACACCTGTCCGGAGTCCAGTATATTTGAGTTGCAGTTCTGTAGCCCATCTGTCCTTCGGTCTGTTTTGGGAGGTCTCACTTCAGGGGTCCATCTCCTGCTCTCTGCATTAGTCATATCTTACTGTACTCTCAGAGGATAGGGTAAGAGCTTTTTTGACTGAAAGTGTAAATCACATATCAGGTTTTCCTCTGAAGCTCCAAAAGCATAGCAGGTGTCCTCCAGGTTTTCTTTTTTTGTTTTTTTTCCAAAACCCTGAGAATGTTTGATAAACTCCTTTTTTTGGTTGCTCAGGTCCCCTTGACATTCACATGTATTTCTGTTGCCAAAGTTATTGGAAGAAAATATTTGGAAGAAATTACTGGAAGAAAATAGCAGATAAAAAGGAAAAAAAATCTCAAAGACAAACTGTGTATACAAAAGCAGACAGTCTGCACGATGTCTGGATTTCAAACCTGCACATCAAACAGTCTCGTCAATGGAAAAGCACTTTCCATCCTGGTAAATATTCAAAAACTCACATTAAATTACAAAGTTCTTAAATGATTCTGCATCCTATTGATGATGAGCTGGGAAAACATGAATCTATCACATACCAATAGTTTGTTAAACATTCTTTAGCTGCTATTCACCTCTGAAAAGAGACCTTGTGCTCAAGGAGGCTGGAGTATGGATGGCTGAACGTATTATGGCCGACTTGCCAGTTTCCATAGATCAGACTTTAGTTTGAGAACATACAGGCAACTGGCCCCAGTAGGGGATCTGCCGCTGCTCCATTGAGGCTCTGTGAGGCTGAGGGCCTGCTGGCTCAGCCTTTTGTCTGGTTTCCTCTACATCCTCCAGAGAGTCACGAGCCCTGCGCCTTCACTCCAACATATGGCCTGTCAACAAAGTCTTTAGCCATAGATGCTGAATCAAAGGAGAAACAATGCTCTGGACAATGGCTTTATAATCACTGGCGAGCCCTGAGATCCTCCAAACATGGCAGAGAAAACGAAGCTTTCTGCCTCGTTTTATCTCATCTAATAAAACTTCCTGTCAAATAACATGGCACGATTTCACCATTTTCTGGGCAGAGTCCCCAAATTTGTTGCCTTTTTTCTTGGCCAGAACCATCTCCAAATTTCTCTCACTGCCTCTGCTAATTAGTTCTCTCTGTTTTCTCGTTCAAAATAAGATATAATCAGTGTCAAGATTTATCTTCTACGGTGTCTTTCAAATGTGTTTGTGAACCACACAAAATGCTCGTTGCGTCACAGTGCTGTCATCACCTAAATACTTACACTGTTAATTTTTGCAAGAAACTAAACATGACTCAAAGTAATGTTTCTTGTAGTACAAAATAGAGCATTGCAGGCGAGAGCCCAGAGATGACTGTCATTAATGAGTAACAGGAGAAGGACTTTTTGCATTCTCATAATCCTTGAGACACTGTAAGTAAAACCCTTCTTTACTTTACATTATACCATAAAGTCAGGATTCAGGTAAATGTCAGTTGTACTAGTTTTTATGGTTTCAGCTGTGAGTTTATGCCAGAACAGGCCACATGAACTGCAGCTGGTGAGGAGCTGGCTGGTTAGCTGGTTGTTGGTGGATCCATCCAATTTGACACCTGGTGCTGTCTTGCCACGGGAACAAAAACCCCTCAGCTGCTCCTGTGATGTTGCCCAGGAGGAGTCGAGAAACAGCTCAGAGACACATTAACGTTCAGGGTAACACTGCCGAACCTGCTTTTTGAAGTCAAGAGCGATGATATACTGTTGTCGTGCAGTTACGGTTTTTGTAAATCGAAGGAATGCTGCTGCGGTATATCATCTTGATTGTTTTTTCAATACTATCTGGAGTAAGGTTTTTTTTTTTTTTTAGAGATCTGTGATTCACTCCCACAACATTTAGAGAAGATAATTCAGGAAACTGAAAACCGGCACGCACGTTTGCAAAAAAAACGTGCCCTACATTTCGGCTGATCTCTTTAACAGATTGGCTCGGTTTTGTTGCTTTACTATAGTTTCTCAATTCTGGTTAAGCAGGATTCGGTGAACCATGAATTTGTTTAGACACGTTTTTGTTACTGTGTTGCAACTGTACATAAACACACATTAAATACCAGGACAGATACACATATGCAAACACACTTTTTCTCACAAGCAAAAACTCCTGCAGTTTATTTTGTCACTGAATCTGAAAACCACAACAC